GAGCTCAGGGCACTGTTGCTCAGAATGTGAAGGAGCCTGTTTGTTTCCAAGTGGTCCGAGCTTGGATGGAGAATCTCTATGATGCTCATAGTGCTTTAGTTGTTGAATCAGTGCTGCCAGTGGCTGCAAGTTGGTAAGCTGCCCACCCAGTCTCCTTCCTCCTGGCAATCTATACCCACAGTCACAGTCAAAGGCAGAGTCTGCTACTGCTTGTCATCACCAGGACTATTGATGCTCTCGGCTTCTTCTGAACTTCAGTTTGAAGTTGTCTCTCTAGCACAGATGCCGTTGTCTAGAGGTGCGAATCCTGCAGCATTGATAAAGGAGTTACAAGGACTTCCCAAGAGAATTTAGCACTGTCCTTGGTCACATAGAGGCTGGTGGAAGATCATAGCTGTCACCAAGCACACACTATTTCATAACACTTTATTGACATAAAGAGCTCATCTCCAACTGTCAAAGCATGGAGGATCCCGAAGAACCTGGCAAATACGTACAGAATGTGACACATAGTAGTTCAGTGAGCTATGGGATAGTTTCTCCTTATCTCCAAGGAAGCCGAATAGAAGGGCAGCTCCTCAGCTTCCACATGAAAGGACTTACAGATGTCAACAAACTGGAGGGCACAGAACAGTTGCAATAAGGATAATAACACATATCCATTTTTTAACCTAAATTCACCTATAAATAGTTATATCATTTTATCTCCCTCTGCCATACTTTTTCTAAACTATTTGAAAGGAGACTGCACACCTCATGGTACTTTGTTCTTAAATTCTGCAATATGCATTTCCTAAGAATAGGGCCCTCTCACATCACAGACGCATGCTGTCAACGTCAATGAGTTTAATGCTGGTAGTCTTTGGTTGAGTTTAACATGGATGGTTTATTTCTGGTGGCCACATACTGGCACATTTTCAAGGTGTAACATGACAGAGGTTGCTTTTTAAATGGCAATAAGAGAAACAAAGCTAACATCTGCTTGATACGACACATGCTTTTAATGAGCTCCAAAATCAGAGTCCCTATCTGATTACTCCCAAGTTGATGTCACAGTTTAAGGTCTGGACTTGGAAGTGATTGAATTTAAGTGTCCCATGGACATGCTAAACATGCCCATTGTGGTGGCTGACTTGACACAGTATATTGGGAAGAGAGTCTCATCAGTTGGAAGAGAGACATTGTCTAGATTAAGTTGGCTCTGAGCATGCCTGTTGCCTATGAGGAATTTATTAATTGGATTAATTAAAGTGGGAAAGCCCACTCTAAATGTGGGTGTCTTTCCTATGAGCGTCTTACATTAAGTCACTGCTGTCTGCTCTTGACTATGAATGTAGCAAGACTGATTGTTTCAAGTTCCTGCCACCTACATGTCCCCATCAGGATTGATTGCAACTTGTAATTGTGAGCCATATAAACCCTTTCTCCTTTAGGCTGCTTTGGTCAGGGTGGGTTTTTTTTATCATGGCAACACCCCCAAAAAGGTATTGTCTGCCACACCTTCTCACACATATGGGGCCTTGACAGATGTTTTGGGTCCTGAGTCTGATATAGCACTGAAATTTTGATGATTGTTTTATATTGAGTCTCTAATGGGGGAAACTGTCATTTATAATGAGACTGCTCAATTCTCTTCATGTCTCAAGTTGAAATATAAATTCTGTGTTAGACCCTGGAACCCAGGCCCACACAGTGGAAGGCCGTTTCAGTAGATCTGCATGACCAGGGTACCAGGGGGAAAACTTTCTCTGCAGGCTTAGGAGTATAAGAGAACAGCTAATGGCTTGCTTATGGAGTCCCTAGTTTCTTAAGTATTTAACCTGAAGCTTTCCAGTGCTTACTATCACAAAAATCAAATGTTTTTGAAAAGGTGGAAGCCCACTAAAGAGGTCAATTGTGTCAGTTTTTGTCTAAAGCCTCTGGAGAGAAGCACAGACTCCCTTCACACCCAGCAAGACCCACAGAATTGAAGAGGCATGTCTGTGATGTGTGACTACTTTTCCAAAGAGGTCTGTTAGCCAAGTTCATGAAGTTATTACAGAATGCCCCAGACTGAATGATTTCCAAAGAGCACATATTCATCTCTGACAGTTCTGGAGGCTGGGAAACCCAAGATCAAGGGACCTCCTTCTAGTAAGTCTGCATCTCCCCTTGGCAGAAGATAAGAGGTGAGATAAAAAAGGGGGGCCATCAAAAGAGGGCTGTCTTAGTTAGGGCTTCTCTTGCTGTGAAGAGACACTGTGACCATGGCAGCTCTTATAAAGGAAAACATTTAATTGGGGTGACTTGCTTATGGTTCAGAAGTTCAGTCCATTATCATCATGGTAGGAAGCAAGGTAGCAGGCAGGCAGACGTGGTGCTAGAAAGGGAGCTGAGAGTTCTACATCCCATTACAGACAACAGGAAGTGGTCTGTCTCACTGGGCGTGGCTTGAGCATATATTACATCTCAAAGCCCACCTCCACAGTGACACACTTCCTCCAATAAGGCCACACCTACTCCAACAAGGCCACACATCCTAACTCTCCCCCTCCCCCCCACTTTGGGAGCCATTTTCTTTCAAACCACTACAAGGACTGAGCTCAATTTTACAGCAAACACACTCTTGAAGTACTGAACCTCTGCTGGCAATGTTACAGTTGGTAAGAGCAGGGCTTAGCTGTTTCTTAAAGCTCCCAAGTCGTGGGATAGGGGGTTCTGAGGTTAATGGTTCTTAGTGGTTTTTTATCCTAAGCAAGGTTCTCTGTCTCTTCCCACACTCACTTTCTATGAGTCTCTCTGGGGATGTGCATAGCTGTTCAGATGTCCTGGAGCTGGTACCAGATTAGCATTGGTTTTGTTTTGTTTTGTTTTTCCTTATCCTGAGAAGACACAGCAACATCAACCCAGCTGGAGCTGAGTTTTGTGGTGTGGGTTTGGTTTGCTCTGGTCCTGCAGCAGAGTTGGTGGGCGTGGTCATGGAGGCCCTGGAAGGGCTCTAGTGTTGTGTCTAGTCAGGTGACTTTCCTAGAGACAAGTCCATAGGGCCAGCAGGCAATCTGTCCCCACTACTGACATCTAGGACCATCCCACCACCTTCTGAAAGGCATGGGGAGTCTCTGGGCTTCTTCATGGCAGAAGATTCTGAAAGGTCTTTACTCCCTCAGCAAAGAGGTTCCTGTCATGTGGCTCTTGAGAGCCAATCTTAGCAGTATCCGCCACTGGGCATCCCACCAGAGACCTGTACACAGTAGGGTGCTGGTACCCAGATGGGAGCCACGCTCCTATCCACCTCCCACGTCTGAGCAGAGCTCACCTCCTTCTTGTCTGGCTTTAGTTCTTTACTTGAACAGCCGGGACTTCTGCTTCTGAGGACAAGGTGGGAGTGCCTCCTGCCAGTGCTGCTACTGAGACACTGTGATCCCACGGTGCCATGTGTGTTCTCCCACACCCATGACAACACTTAATGTGGCCACAAGAGACTACTGATAGCCGTGGAAGACCTCATCCTTCACTAAGTTCCAGGCTAACTCTTTGCTCTGTGTCTCATCATCCTGTGGTATCAAGACACCATGACAGCAGGCCAAGGGCCCAGTGCTTGGACCTACCCAACCCCACCACACCACAGTATAAGATCAAAGGTGAGGTGCCAGGTCCCAGCCCAAACTTCAGTCTGCCAAAGTCCCTTCTCTTCTACCCCCACAGTCCCTGTGGCATATTTCCTCTCTCCACCAACAGTGAACAGGATTCCATAGAATTAAGGGTGAGTAGTGATAAGCATCTGTCATTCCAACTACTTGGAAGTGCTGAAACAGGAGGATGACTTTAGTCCAGGTTGGGGAACCAGGGAAGACCCCATCTCTTAAAAATAAACCGAACAAAATTAACAAGAGCTGGACCACACTGGTCAATGGATTGCTCCAGGTGCTCTCTGGGAAAGCATGGGGTTAGTGTGGCTCAGCCAGAGAGTCTTCTCCCTGGCTCTTCAGAAGCTCTGCTGCAAGTCCATGTCTACGGCGTTTTACTCTCTTCTGGACAAACTGCCCCCACAGTCTTGACAAATGATTCCTTGGTGTTTGCAAGTCAGTGTTAGACTGGCGGAAAGTTCCCGAGGGGGTTGGCCCAGGTGGGTCAGATTGAGGTGTCTACATTGCCGTCATCATCTGTGTTTCCAGAGATGGGTGGGGGCTTTGGGCTGACAAGTGTTTACAATGCAAAGGGCTCGTGTGTATTTAATCAAGCTACAGACGTTCTAGATCGATTGTACAAGCAGGATTGTTTTTTCTTCTACCAGTGTGTCTCTTGTGGAGCTTGGCCTGTCCTGATCAGTGGAGGGGGTGGGGTTGTCACGGAGCACACTGCAAACCAGCCCAAATCTAATTGTTTATTTGAGGGGGTTGGTTTTTGAGACAGGGTTTTTCTTTGTAGTCCTGGATGTCTGGAACTCACTCTATAGACCAGGCTGGCTTTGAACCCACAGAGATCCACCTGCTTTTGCCTCCCAAGTGCTGAGATTAAAGGCACGCATCACTACCAGCCAGTCTAAATTTTCTGTTTTAAAATTTAAATTCATCTCTTGTGTGGGTGTACGTGGGTGTGAGCATGGGTGTGCACATGCAACAATCTCACAAGTGGAGGTTAGAGCACATCCTGGGGTTTTGTTCCTCATCGTCCACTGTTCTTGAGACGAGGGCCTCTTTACTAGTTCAGGATGGAATATACCAGGCTAGCTGGCCTCGGAGCTTCTGGGAAGACTCCTGCCTACCTCAGTCTCCTTTCTCTCCATAGGGTTTCTGGGATTACAGATGTGTGTTACTTCATAGATTCTGGGGATCCAGGCTCAGGTTCTCACAATTGCTAGACAAGTGCCTTACACTGAGCCACATTCCCCAACCCAGATGGGTTTTAATAGAGATCAGTCTCACTCAGCTAAGTGATGATTTTGCTTCGGGTCCGAACCATGACTGCAGATCCTAACACTATAATCCTCTCTCTTCTCTCTCTCTGAAACCTGCTGGCAGCTGTCCATACCTCGCGGTGAACATCACCCCCGCCATCCCCGTGGTCGGCGGTATCCTGTTCTTCTTCGTGATGGGGACTCTGCTTCGGACCAGCTTCAGTGATCCGGGAGTCCTCCCTCGAGCCACTCCTGATGAAGCCGCTGATCTGGAAAGGCAAATAGGTAACGCTGAAGCTCTGCTTTTAGCCTGTGGTTACTCCCCTCCAGTGCTGGCTCCAAAGTGGGGGACAGGCCGGGGTGCTCATACAGAGGGCAGGGCGCTTGTGCAGAGGGCAGGGCGCTGGCTGGCATGAAGAGTGACCGGGAATGAAGGAGACCTTAAAGATGACCAGAGTAGAAGGTTGGGATGTGAAGTGGTCCAGGTAAGACTGGGGATGCTGCAGAGCTGAGGCAGGGGCCTTGACAGCATGCGAGAAGCCCCCCAGTGAGCAAGATTTGGCTTACAGATATTTCTTTGAAACTCAAGCATCCAGTTCTGCTCTGGTCTAGAACCTCAGTAGTTGAAGCAGTTTCTCTCCTGTGCTCTCTGGGGGGACATGGCAGCTTCCTTAATTTCCATAATAAAAGCTAAGTATATTAGTTTCTTTCCTCATTATTGCAACGTATTATCTGGAAAAAGGATTTAAGGAAGAGTGTTTTGTATCAGTTCCCTGATGGTACTTCCCTCATGGTAGGGAAGACATGGAGGCAGGAGCCAGAGTCAGCTGGTCATATTGTATCTGCTCTCAGGAAACAGAAAGATGCAAACTGGTGTCTGACTCACTTTCCTCTATTCATTCAGCCCTGATCCCCAGCCCACAGAAAAAGTGGATTTCCACTATAATTAATCTACCCTAGAAGCTTCTTTATAGACCAGTGGTTCTCAACCTTGAGGTCAATCAGCCCTTTCACAGGGGTTGCCTAAGACCATTGGGAAACACAGATATTTATATTATAATTCATAACAGTAGAAAATTACAGTTATGAAGTAGCAATGAAAATTATTTTCTAGTTGGGTGGTGTAGGAGGTCCTTCTGTATCTGTGTTGCTTTCATTGATTATTAAAGAAACTGCCTTGGCCTAATTGATAGGGAGGATCTCAGGTAGGCGGGGAAGACAGAACAGAATTCTGGGAAGAAGGGCAGAGTGGCAGACGCCATGAATCTCCTTCCTGAGACGGACATAGGTTAAACTCTTGCCGGTAAGCCACAATCACGTGGTGATGCACAGATTAATAGAAATGGGTTAATCAAGATGTGAGAGTTAGCCAGTAAGAGGCTAGAGCTAATAGGCCAGGCAGTAATTTAATTAATACAATTTCTGTGTGACTATTTCGGATGTTAAGCTAGCTGGGCAGCCGGGACACAAAGCAGGCCCTCTCTCCACTGTACAGTTGGGGGTCCAGTGTGAGGACCACAGGTCCTCAATTAAATGTAAAGGGTCACAGGTTTCGGAAGGTTGAGAACCACTCTCAGAGACAGTCCCAAAGGCTTGTCTCCTAGCTGGTTCTAGATCCTGCCAAGTTGATGATCAGTATTAAACCGCCATACAGGGCTAAGGTACATCCTAGACTGTCTTATTTATTTAGGTTAGGATCCAGGGCTTCTTTTGTTTGCACAACTCAGCAATATATCCCAGTGGTGTGTACTGAAATGAACTGCTTGATTTTCCTTAAATATTAAAGCCTGAAGCTAGAGTTTGCAGCCACCCTACTTTGAAAATTTAAAGCAGATCCTAAGGTCTATCACAACCCACTTTAAAAACGTGAACCTTCTCTTGACACGTAAATGCTCTCAAGGGTGGGTGTGTCTTGTGTAGCTTTGCCGTGGCGCACTGGTGAGTCTGATAAGATCAGCAGTCGGCCTGTGCTGACTCAAAGTGAGCATGCAGAAGAGGCCTGGTAAAGCCGCCCAGCAGGGATCTCTTCCCGGGCTCCCTTCGCAGCCTCTGCTCTAGCTACAGAGATGCCCCTTTGCTATGGCACAAGCAGCTACAGCTGTGGCCAGGGCTAGAGATGCTCTTACATTTGCCAAGGACAAAGCAGAGCTCTGTCCCTGTCTCAGCCTCTGCTCCTTCCTCCATCCCTGCCATGCAGAAGGGGGCAGTCAGTCTACGATGCTGGGAGACCATGGTGCCACCTGCTGTTCTGCAGCCAGCCTGTTTTCTGAGGATGAGAAGGCGAGAGAAGGAAGTGGCAGGGGAAGGGCAGCCCTTCTCCAGCCGCTGTGTCTTGTGACCCTGAAAGCCGCCCACGTCCTTGCACTTCGGTCATGTTTAACATGGCAGTGGCTGTCCTGGAACTTTTCTCCCATCTGAGAAGCTCTGTGAAGATAAAGCTATTCGTGTTCTCTGTTACAAACGAGGAGAGTGCCTCCCCCCAAAGAGGGGCTTCAATAAGAGGAAGTACAGCGTTGGAGCCCGGTCTCTAAGTTCCTGCCCTTGTCTATCCCTAAGGAGCGGAGAAGCTAGGGCCGGTTCTCTTCAGGAGAAGACTAGGTTTGTAGTCTGGGCTGTTTCAAACATCATGCATCTGGAAAACCTTCTGCCTCATGCAGACCCGCAGAAAATGACACAGTGTGTTCTGTGACCCTCTGGGCCACTGCAGGAGCCTCTGCCAGAGCACTGGTGGGAGAGCTAGGTGTCCTGCCTTCCTAGCACGTTTGGGATGCATCGGGGGCGCTATCAGCTTTCTCGGCTATAAATGCAGATTCCCAGAAGCTTGGTGTGTTGAGGCTTAAATATCTTTTAAAATGAATTGTGCTCCATGACCCCAAAGGTCATGAGGGGTAGATTGAGAAATGGATGAGCACAAGCCAGACTTGATTTTTCGTGGAGGGAAGAAAACCATTTAGAAAGCTGGCCAATGCTATTAGAAATGGTCATTAAGTTGGGAGCCGCTATTCCTGAAAGACTAGGGAATGCTGAAAAAAGGCCGGCATCTATGGCATTCTTACCACGTGCTTCTGTCTCCAGGCCCCATGCCGAAGGTAAAGGTGAAGAAATCCTACCAGGACCTGGTGAACCAGGAGCACCACTATTTCCCTCAGAGGCATGGCCTCGATTCCAAGTGGAGCACCAAACATAGCAATAGCCAAGTTTTTATCTTAAGAACCTATAACGGCAGAGCAAACAAAACTCAAAGCAAGCAGCGACAGGGGAATTTATAAAGTTTAGAGAGGAAACCAAGGATATAGAAAAAAGGGAAACATGGGGAAAAAATCAATGAGGCTAAAAGTTAGTTCTTTGAAGGATCAACAAAATTGGCCCATCTTTTTCTTTGCTGATGAGAGAGACAGACCAAGTGGAATCGTTAAAATCAGTAGTAGACCAATTTCCAAAGATGCTCATGAAGAGCTGGGTAGTACATGAAAAAGAGACTTATCACTTTCTGTTGTTAGGGGGACGTGAATCAAAATCACAGTGGAGGGCCCATGATCCCCACCCCCAGGGTAACTCTGAGAAAAAGACCAGTCACGACAAGCGTTAGCAAGGATGTGGAAACCTAAAACGCTCACTCGCTGCTGGTGGCACTGTCAAATGGGATGTCTGTTTTGAAAAATAATGCCTCAAAATTCTTGAAAACACTGAACACAGTTACCACATGGCCCAGCAATTCCACTCCTAAGTATATAGCCAAGAAAACTAATCCACTTCCTCATAAAGACTTGCTGTATCTGGTGACCAAAACCTGGGCAGAAACCGCAGGTCCATCAAAGGGTGATTTGATGGCTGTCATGTTGCATATCCTCCCAACAGACATTACCACTTTTAAAAAGCCACATGTTACCGTATGTTACATGGATGAACCAAGAACCCGAGGCTAAGTGAAAGAAGCCAGATGCACAAGACTACATATTGTGGTACTTAGAGTATTTCATAAGGGCTAAATTTAGACAAATCTTTAGACACAGAAAGCAGAGCAGTGAAATCGTGGGACACAGGTAAGATTGCAGGTTAACTATACCTGTTGTGAGTGGAGGGCTGAGGTGACAACAGTTGAGGTGGCTGAGATAAAGGGGAGGGCTGCGCAGTGCAGCGGGTTCCCTAAGAATTACTGGGCCACCTAATGAGTCTGTGAATTAGAGTTCAAGAACGTGATTGTCTGTTTGAGGAGAGGAAGTAAGGGAACGAGAAGAGAATAGGGTAGAAGAAACCCCTAGAAGTGAGTTAGTACTCTGGCTCACCCCTTCCCTAGTTGCGCAACTTTAAATAAGGACGTACCTTTCTTAGCTTGTCCCTTCATGTTTTCTCTACACAGTAGGGGCAGCGACGTGTATCTTGTGAGGTATTCGCCAAGACCCTGGCGCTCAGTAAATGATGTTATATTTACCTTTTTTTTCTAAAGTTCTCCTCTTTTCCCACCCAGTTGTTTCTTTGCCTTCTGCAGACAAGGGTTCTCGTCAAAGGCAATCCAAAGTATGAATGAATGAAAGGCCAGAGGTGGGCGCTGTACCTCCCCTACTTGAGGGGAGTCCAGGGCTACGGTTTTCTTCCTCGTGGCTCTGATTCTTCCTCGGGACTCCCGTATACTCTTGTCTTTGAAAAAATGAGATTATGTTTTGATCAAATCTGTTTTATTTTTGGAAAGCTTGGAGTAGAGAAGAAAGGTCGTATGAGTGGGTCAGATGGAGATGGGACCAAAGCAGACGCTTGAGTGGGAAGGGCTGGTGAGAACACCCACCTCTGCAGAGGGTTTTATACTTCTCTATTTAAAGATTTCTTTTTTTATTGTTTTTAATTGAGCTATATATTTTTCGCCACTCCCTTCCCTTTCTCCCCTCTCCCTTTCTCCCCTCTCCCATGACCCTCATGCTCCCAATTTAAAAAAAAAATGATATCTTGAATTTTGCGGGCAAATGGCTGGATCTAGAAAAAGATATATTGAGTGAGGTAACCCAGACCCAAAAAGACAAATATAATATGTACTTACTCATAATTGACTTTTAGAAATAAAGCAAAGAAATGCCAGCCTATAGATCACAACCCCAGGGAACCTAGACAACAAAGGGAACCCTAAGAGAGACGTGGATCTACATAGGAAGGTGGAAAAGACAAGATCTCCTGAGTAAATCGATGGAATCTTAATGTTTATTTTGTGCTGAATGGAGAAAGAAAATGAAAATTTAGGTTTAAAAACTTTTTTATTAAGGTTATTAATTCTAATTACCTGTTTATAGTATATG